ATAAAGTAATTATTAATTATACAGATAATCTTCATACTAAAAAAAAGTTAACATCATATCCCGGGGAGAAGCATCTTCACCAACTCTAAAATGCTGATGACAGCACTGTTGAAGAATTCGATGTACAGACCGAATTGCACAATCGCATAGACGCCGACTGGAAGGAATGCAGCAGCGTAGGTCAATGACGCAGTCCATGCCTTCTTCAAATGAATGGTGAGGATAATGGCGGCCGTGAAGGAAAGAACGGTGGTTGCAATGCCCAAGAACAGACAGGTGAAGCCAAATGCTAGTTTCCGGGGTATGGTACTATGAAAATCTGCCAGATCAAGCGATGATGTGAGCACAGAAAGGAAGATTACCACCGAAGTCAACGAGTTCGCCAGTCCAGCCACGTCCATCACAGTGAAAAAAGAGTATAGAGGCTTCTTCTCAAGGACTGCATACCCTTCATTCTCTGAAAAAGAAAAAAAAAAGAAAATTATATATATGGCAACTTGTAAATGACAAATTAGAATTTTCTTTTGCGTAAGGAGAAGGGAAAAAAAGTTCAATTACCTTTGAAACCACCTGGGGCGGTGAAGACGGCAGTGAAGACAACCGTGGCGACTAGGACGGCCACCGTGGAGCATGACTGACAGGTGTTCTTGACCCATTCTTGTGCCTCTTTAAGTTGTTCTTGGTGCTGGTCTTTGAACAGCTCCTTTGCCGTTTTATTTTTCTTGTTGCGGTGGATTGTGTAAGAAGCAGGAACCTTTTTTGCCACCTCCTGAAATATCACAACAACAATACACAATTCTTTTAAGAAATATATAGAGGCTGACTCTGAATTTAATGTTTATTAAGGAATTTAAAGAAGCAATTGATATATAGAGGCTGACTTTGAACCATTTCAGCTCCTCTTGCAGCTTCAGAGCTATCGTTGATTTGGTTCCTCCGTGATAGTATTTGGTACTGGCCGCTTTGTGCAGAATGGTGTCGCCATCGTTGTCGATCCCTAAAACCAGCCTACTGTTCACCGCTCCACCCTCCTTGTCGACATATTCAAAGATGTCGTTTCGACGGTATAGAATGGCCACGTGCAGAATATTCTGTCCATTCTCAGTCACATGCTCCAATGCTTGAGGATACTCTTTGTGAATCATCTCTACGATCTCCAGGATCCCAGTGCTGGCGGCGATTATCAATGGAGTATCCGACAGTGACACATCAGTGGCGCCAATGCCTCCGGTTTTGGACGATACCTCACTCTCTTCTTCGCCAGCTGTTTCTTTGTCTCTTAAAAAGCAAATATTGGTGTTGTGCTCTTCTAAATGGTAGTGCTTACGCCACGAGGAAGAATCCTTCTTTACCAGCATCTCGGCCAATTTAGCTCCTAACTCATGCTTCCTCCTCCTTTCTCTTATTTCTTTAATATAATGCCATTCTAAAAGAAATAAATTTTTTTAGAAATTTATAGTAAATTATAAAAGGCGTTTTCCATTTTCAGTTTGGACATCTGAAATGATTTGAGTATCCTTAATCTTAATGAATTACACTGATAGAGAAAAAAATTCATTAACGATATTATCTTTAATTTAATAAAGGGAAATAGAAAGAAGTGTTGAGGTTAACACATCTGCTTTCCTTTCCTCTCCTCTCCTCAAACCAAATAGGGGTTTAAGGTAAATAAAGAAATTTTTGGGTTGCGTACCTTCAAGAATCGTCCAAAAACGAATCCATAAACAACGGTGCATGCTTAAACCTGCATAAAGGAAAATTTACAATTTCAAGTATAGCTGCAACTCATCCCTTACAAGTATCATGAATGCTAGAAATTAATACATACTTGTATAACCTATCATTGGTTGATGGCTATTCCTGGTCTCGCAGCACTGACTTGGTACATGCTGATCAGTTTCATCTTTGTGGACCAAGTCGTGTGGAAATTCTAAAATCCAAAACGCCGAATTGAGTCAATGATACAAGAATTAATGTGTTTTTTTACCCATGTGATTGTAGTTTGCAACGAACTTACTTCTATATATAGTCTCCTTCAATCCAGACATTTTTCCAGAAGAACTTTTGAAAGAAGTCGACATGCCTGCAAGAACTTGAAGACATGTCTTCTCAAAATCCTTCAGCATGGCTAGATCTGGATCTTTGTCTAGTAACCAGATAGCTGTCTCTGCATTAAATAGATAATTCTCTTGCATTTTCTAAAGGAAAAAGTGTTTTGCAATTCAAATGGCCTGAACTACAATCCCTTGATGAGTGGATTTAAGGACAGACCCAACTAATTGCTATTTGGAATACCAAACACCAACATCTTTCCTAAATTAGTGCTTTAATTTAAAATTAACCAAATGAGCAGTACATACCAAAATTTTCATTCATGATAGCAACATGAAGAATGGGGAGATTATCATAGGTTCTTGTGAAGTTGCCTTGCAGAATTCCCACTTCCTTCTCCACTTCATTTGCCAAGTACTCCACTGTCGCTTTGGTACCAAATGCCGCAGCCCTGTATAGCGGCGTCTCCCCTAACCCATTTTGGTCCATCAGCATTTTCTCTCGTTCTCCATGTGCGATCTCAACCAAGAATTTTACTGCCTCAAGCCCCTCATCAACATTCTTGTTGGTGGCCGCCTCATGGAGAAGGGTGTTGCCATGAATGTTCTTCATCACCAACACCTCCCATTTTCTAGACAGCGGGACCATTTCGAAGAGGGCTCGGAGCAGCTTTACGCTTCCCATGTATGCTGCAATGTGGAAAACAGTGTCTTCACAAGGAGTGAGGCTATCGAATAAAGCATAACGTTTGGTCTGATAGACTGTTTTAATGCTTTCCCACTCATTTCTCAAGGCCTTCACAAAAGGCTCCTTCATTACCTCAACATTTTCTGGATCAGTCCTAATGCAAGCCAAAACTACTTCTTTTGCCATCACTCCTTTTCTTTTTCACTCTGCTTAATTGATAATTAATTTTTTTTCTTTAGCAGCTTTAAATTGATCAATGTTCACGATTTCTGGTTTTATAGCCTGCAGCAAACATGAAAGAGTAGTGAAAAATAATAGCATCTGTACCTTGCTCAATTAATTAATAAAGCTAAATGTGGAAAAGTTGAAAAAAGGTTTACACAAGAATGTAGTAAACATGAAGGAAGGAACAACAGTGTTCCAAGTTATGCTAAAGGGTTTTACGCTTTACATATATATATCCAAGCAAATCAGAAAACAATATATTAGAAACATCTACATCTCATGTAAAGAATCATTGTGAAATTTGATCAGTTGTGATGATAACCCAACATAACATGTAAAAGTTTCTAATAGGCCAAAGCCCCTATTTGCACCCTCCATTTATTTTTTTTCCGCGGTCAACACCTTCCAGAATTTTTCCTCCCTATTCACACCCTCTACTTTTCAAAGCCCGTGAAAAACCCAATATTTTAACGGGCCGTCACGGTCCCATTAAAAAATATATTACGTGGCACCCAAAAATTGACGTGGCACTATGTAACGTTAGTAATCCAACGTGGACGCCACGTATACAGTAAAAATAATAAAAAATTATAATATTACCAAACAATTACATAAATGGCATTTTTTCTTTTTTTTCTTTCCCCCCTCATCCTCGGCATCATCTTCACCGCCCTCCATCTTCACCATCCTCTTCTTTCTCAATGGGTTCCTCGCGGGGAACCCAGTTCGGGTTCGTGCGCGGGAACCCAGAACTGGGTTCCCCGCGAGGAACCCAGATCTTGGTTCCCCGGGTTCCCGGGGAACCTAGTTCTAGGTTCCCGCGGGGACCCAGATCTGGGTTCCTCGCGTGGAACCCAGTTCGGGTTCCTGCGCGGGAACCCAGTTCCAACCTCCTTTTTTTTTTAATATTTTAAATGTATTTATCTTAACTTTCGATTTTATGCAAAATAATTTGGAATAATTTTTTTTTGTTGAAAAAGTGAGTTTTTTTGCTGGGAGATTGTTTTTGAATAGGTTGCCAATTTTCGTTTTTTGTGGGAAAAGAGTAAAAGATGCTTATCATGTTTTTGTGCAGTATTCATTTATTTATAATTGTGTGGATGAAAATCTTAGCTTGCATTCATGTGAAATTAGGTTCTACGAAGAACTCAGAATCTGGGTTTTGCGAGGAACCTAGGGGATGAGGATGAGGATGGTGAAGATGATGCCGGGAAAGAAGAAAATGAAGAAATTAAAATTAATGATGATTTAATTATAACACATTATAAAAAAAAGTTATGGGTACCTGGTTCCATGAGGAACCCAGGAAGATGAAGAGGAAGATGGTAAAGATGATGCGGGAAAGAAGAAAATGAAAAAATTAAAATTAATTATGATTTTATTATGCCATATCATAAAAAAAAAAAGTCCACATTGGATTATGTTACTGTTTGATGCCACATAATACAATTTTTAACGGTTATTAACGGGACCGTGACGGCCCGTTAAAATATTGGGTTTTTCACGGGTTTTGAAAAGTGAAGGGTGTGAATAGGGAGGAAAAATTCTGGAAGGTGTTGACCGTGGAAAAAAAATAAATATAAGGTGCAAATAGGGGCTTTGGCCTTTCTAATATATCATTTTTTTAAAAATAAGATATCCTTGTGATACAACAGAATTTCTCCACCCTGAAAACACAACTAGTTCAATTAACCCATACAAAAATGTTTACATGTTCCAGTTTTCCTGCATATCTCAGTTATTGGAATGGAATGACATTCCAAGGGACTTGAATATCACGTGCTAAGAGTTACTTGATGTTATTAACAAAGTAATGTGCTGTGGTAGCTTTTGTTTAATTCAAGTTTTCTAGATACATTCTCCATGAATCACCCCTTTGGGAACAAAATGGCAAGTTATATATCATATCCCAGCTGGAAGAATAGTCTGAATATGGAGTTAGAAAGAGTTCTAAAGGAGGTTAAATGACTAATGTGATGACTATTCGTATGAACATCAGTCAATAAGTAGTTAAAATAGAGGAGATACATTATTTGTACCCATGTACTATCGGTCATACTTATTTGAATAACTATCACAATCTAATAAACATTTATAATCAAGTTACTAAATTTAAAACAAATTGTAGCTAGAACAAACATTATATTTAAGTGAAGGTGCTGACATATATTCTAAAGATACATAACATTTTCATTCCAAAACACGAACACATTATGTAGCTAATCAACACAATGCCAACTACGATATGAAAGAGCTGGGATTAGATTCTATTATGATAGATGACAGAAGGTAAGTTTGCTGATAAAAGAAAGAAAAGATGAGAAGGTAAGTTTTTATTCTAAAGTACTGTTTTTTCATGTCATGCTTTACAACGTTTTTATGACATTTTTATTTTCGTTATTGAATGTAGGGTGAAGCAATCCATTTGGTTATTGACAAAAAAAGTATCACTACACATCTAAATATTTTTAAAATTTATTTAAAATTTATTTAAAAAATAAATTTTAAATTTCTATCTAACAAAATTTTAAACTTATAAGAGATGTAAATGTTTTTTAAACTAGCCAAACCCCCTCATATTCTTACTGCCTATAAATTATTAGTTAGTTACTACCAAAAATAAAGCTCAATTATGTTCAAAAAAAAAAAATAAAGCTCAATTGTACAATTAATTTATCGTTATCTTTGAATCTAATCATTGCACACAACCCCTATGGTCTAGATTCTAATATGTGAGAGAAAAGCAAGCTTTCACATAAACTAATTTAATTCATAAAAAAATTAAACAGAACCAGACAAAACCCATTTAGAAAAGCAAAGAATATTTGTTATCATTGGTAAGTCCCATTCACATGCACAAAGCATCCATGAATGAACTCATCAAACAAAAAGAAGATGAGCTTAATGCTTAATATACTTATTAAAAAATAAATAAAAAGCCTACGGCTTAAGTAGATTTCTAAAGCAATGATTGGTATTCCACAACCAGGAATAGACTGGAGGAGAGCAAGGTTATGTCTTTAAGACTAAAACCGTAATAAAAATCCGCTAGGAAATAAGCTAATTAAATAGAATAAAGAGGAAAAAAGGTAATATAACCCCCAAAGAAAATAATTGGTATATCTTACAAAGATACACACTCTATTATAATACACTAACAATTTTCGTTATTTGTGTTGTTAAAGTTAACAATTTCCGTTACATACTAATAAAAACTATCAACATGTAATGGAGTATATAACTGTATAGTGTATATATATCATTGTCAAACCCCCAAACATTTGAGCAAGCAATCTCGTAATTCATCTTTTAAAAGGAACCAACTGAAAAATTAAAGAAATGTAGATCGACTTATCCAAACTCACCAATAGTATTATGAAAATCTAATTTGTGAAATTTTGTAGAGAGCACTCAATAGAGTACATAAAATGAAATTCTCAACCTCATTTTTTACTGTAGTTCTACAAGTGCTCTCGGTGCTTAAGTGCAGGAAACTTATCTAATTTGTAAAATTAAAAAAAAAAAAAGTTATCATCATTTTTTTAAAAAAAATTATTCACCAACAGTACTACAGAAACGAATATCTAACGATTGTTTTAATTAAATAGATAATTTTCAAATTAAAAAAAAATTAAACGTCATACCCCGGGAATAAGCATCTTCACCAACTCTAAAATGCTAATGACAGCACTGTTGAAATATTCGATATACAGACTGAACTGCACAATTGCATAAACACCGACCGGAAGGAATGCAGCAGCATAGGTCAGAGACGTAGTCCATGCCTTCTTAAAATGAACGGTGAGGAAAATGGCGGTTGTGAAGGAAAGCACGGTGGTTGCAATGGCGAAGAACAGAAAGGTGAAGCCAAGCGTCAGTTTCCGGGGTATGGTACTATGAAAATCTTCCTGATCAAGTGACGATGTGAGCACAGAAAGGAAGATCACCACCGACGTCAATGAGCTTGCCAGTCCAGCCACGTCCATTACAGTGAAAAAAGAATATAGAGGCTCCATCTCAAAGACTACATGCCCGCTATCTAAACATAAAATTTAAAAAAAAGAAAAGAAAAAAGAAATTGATATATGTTAAGGTATTGGAGAATCAATCAAATTATAATTGACTGACTCCACATAAATAATCAAATTATATATTTGATTTTAGCATTAGTGGGTAGGTTGTATTTAGGCATTACAATGTAATTGATTTATTTTTTATATTGTCTACCTTAGAGCTTATATAAAGAGTGCTATATATGCGTTCCCCTGTTATAACTCAATGGTGGCCATTGCTGCCCAAAAGGGCAGCCGGTGGAATGCACTCTTGATCCCAAGTTCAATTCCTCCCAGAGCAAATACTAACCTACTAATCTAACCATTCCCTCTAAAAAAAAAAAAAAAAAATGGAGTGCTATATATAACTCTCAAATATATCTCTGAATTATAATGAAATGTCTTTCTTCTAATTTTTCAGTCTTGCTTTCTCACGCTTTAAACCTTAATAATATATAAGGCAGCTTGTAAATGACAAATTAGATTTTTATTTTTGTAAGGAGAAGATAAAAGGAAGTTTAGTTACTTACCTTCGAAACCACCTGGGGCGCTGAAGGCCGCCACAAAGACAACCGTGGCAACTAGGACTGCCACGGCAGAGCACGACTGACTGGTGTTCTTAACCCATTCTTGTGCAACTTTGAGTTGGTCTTTGTGCTGGTCTTTGAACAGCTCCTTCGCCGTCTCATTTTTCTTGTTGCGGTGGATTGTGTAAGGAGCAGGAACCTTGTTTTCCACATCCTGCAAAATCACAACAACAGTTCACAATTCTTTTTAAGACTTTGAATTGATGTTTGTTTATTAATGAATTTAAAGAAGCCATTGATATATAAAGGCTGACTTTGAACCATCTCAGCTCCTCTTGCAGGTTCAGAGCGGCCGATAATTTGGTTCCTCCGTGGTAGTAATTGGTACGGGCGGCTTTGTGTAGAATGGTGTCACCGTCTTTGTCGATCCCCAAAACCAGCCTGCGCTTCATGACCGGTTCACCATCCTCGTTGACATATTTAAAGATGTGGTGTTGACGGTATAGAATGGCAACATGTAGAATATTTTGTCCATTCTCGGTCACATGAAGCAACGCTTGAGGATACTCTTTGTGAATCATCTCCACGATCTCCAGGATCCCTGTGCTGGCAGCAATAATCAACGGAGTATCTGACAGTGACACAAAGGCGGTGCCAATACCTGCGGTTTGGAACGACGCCTTATCACTCTCTTCTCCGCCAACTGTTTCTTTGGCTCTTAAAAGGCAAAAATCTGTGTTGTGCTCTTCTAAATGGTAGTGTTTACGCCACGAGGAACAATCCTTCTTTACCAGCATTTCGGCTAATTTACCTGCTAACTCATGCTTCGTTTTGTTTTCCCCTATTTCTTTAATATAATTCCATCCTAAAAGAAATTAATTTTTTTTAGAAATAAATACTAATACAGCTCCACAAATGGGTGTCGGTAGTTTTGTGGAATTAAAGGGTAAAGTGTACCGATGATTTTTCTTTAAAAAAATTTATAGTAAATTTCAAAAAGAATTACGATTTTCAATTTGAACATGCTGAAAGAATTAGAGTATCTTTAACTTTAATGAATTACTATAGAGAAAAAAAACTCATTAATGGTATTATCATACCACATTTTTTTTGTTGTTTTCATTAACACCATATCTAGATTACAAAAGGTAAGGGTATCATAGAGAGGAGTAGAGGTTAATACATCTGCTTTCCTCTCTTCTCCTCCCCTCAAACCAAAGAGGAAATTAAGGTAAATAAAGAAATTATTAGGGTGCGTACTTTTAAGAATCCTCCAGAAACGAATCCAAAAACGACGGTCCATGCTTAAACCTGCATAAAGGAAAATTTGCAATTTCAAGTATAGCTGCAACTCATCCCTTTACAGGCAGCATGAATCCTCAAAATTAATACATTCTTATATTACCTGTCATTGGTTGATGGTCTTTCCTAGCCTTGCAACATTGACATGGTACGTGCTTATTAGTTTCATCTCTATGGAATAAGTTGCCTGGAATATCTGAAAACAAAAATGCCAAATCAAGTCAGTGGTACTGAAATTAATGTGTTTTTTTGCCCACGTGATTGTAGTTTGCAATGAACTTACTTCTATATATAATCTCCTCCAATCTAAACATTTTCCCACAAGAGCTTTTGAAAGCAATCGACATACTTGCGAGAACTTGAAGACATGTCTTCTCAAAATCCTTCAGCATTGCCAGATCTAGATCTTTTTCTAGTAACCAAATTGCTGTCTCTGCATTCAATAGAGAATTCTCATGCATTTCCTAAAGAAATAAAGGTGTTTTGCAGTTCAAATGGCTCAAACTACAATCCTTTGATGACTGGGTTTAAGGATAGACCCAGATTATTGTAGTTTGAAATACAAAACACCAACATCTTTCCTAAATTTTTTTTTGAAAAGCAAATTTATTAATTGAGTACAAGGGGAACACCTTTCCTGAATTAATGCTTTAATTTAAAATTTAACCGAATGAGCAGTGCATACCGAATTTTTCATTCATGATAGCAACATGAAGAATGGAGAGATTATCATAGCTTCTTGTGAAGTTGCCTTGCAGACTTCCCACTTCCTTCTCCACCTCCTTTGCCAAGTACTCCACTGTTGCTTTGGTACCAAACGCCGCTGCCATATATAGCGGCGTCTCCCCTAAGCTATTTTGGTCCATCAGCATAGTCGCTCGTTCTCCATGTGCAATCTCAACCAAGAATTTTACTGCCTCAAGGCCCTCATCATTATTCTTGCTGGTAGCTGCCTCATGGAGAAGGGTGTTGCCATGAATGTCCTTCATCATCAACACCTCCCATTTTCTCGATACCGGAACCATTTCGAAGAGGACTCGGAGCAGTTTTATGTTCCCCATGTATGCTGCAATGTGGAAAACAGCGTCTCCGCAAGGAGTGAGGCTATGGAATAAAGCATAACGTTTGGTTTGATACACTGTTTTAATGCCTTCGCACTCATTTCTCAAGGCCATTACATAAGGCTCCTTCATTACCTCAAAATTTTCTGGATCACTCCTAATACAAGCCAAATCTACTTCTTTTGTCATCACTCTATTTGATTTCTTTTTTCACTCTTCTGAATTGATATACAGATTGGTTTCTCTTTACCTACTTTAATTGGATGGTGATGTTCATGATTGCTGGTTTCATAGCCCGCAACAACTTGAAAAAGTAGTGAAAAATAATAGCATCTGCACTTTGCTCAATTACTTAATAAAGCTAAACCACGGAAAAGTTGAAAAATGAAAGTAATGAGAATACAGTAAAGAGAAAGGAAGGAACAACAGAGTTCCAAGTTATGCTAAAGGACATTACACTCTAAATCCAAGCCAATATATAAGGAAAAGAACATTTCAGAAACACGTGCATTTCATGCTAAAGAGTCATGTATACTAAAAGTGTCATTTGAGCTGTGATGGAATCTTAATATGATAAAACTAATTTTAATATACATATTTTGTAGATATCTTTTTATGAAACAACATAATTTCTCCACCTTAAAAGCAGAGCTCGTTCGATCAATTCATATACAGCAAGTAAATGTTTTTTTTTTTTTTGGTACATATACAGCAAGTAAATGTTTAGCTATTCTAGTAATGTGTTGCGGCGGCTTTTGTTTTGTTCCAGTTTTCTAGATGTATTTTCCTTGACTCATCCCATGGGGAGTAAAATGGCAAGAAGTATAAATAAATAAATAAATATATATATATATATATATTATAGGGCTGGGCATTCGGGCCGTTACCCAAATGGGTAACCGATTACCCAAAAAAAAAAAATATTCGGGTAGGTACAATTGGTTTTTTGCCTTTTTTTCTCAGTTTTGATATTAATCCAAAAATTTTTGGTTTGGTTTCAATTTGAAGGTTTATTAACCAAAAACCGACTAGGGCCTCCAAACCAACCGAATTCAGTTCCAATTTTTAGGCCCAGTGGATTTTTTTTGCTAAATATGACATAAATAGAATCTATTAATTGAAAAAAAAAATTGTTTAATGTTTGTTTGGTGAAAACCGAACCAAATATGAAATAACCGATTTTATTGGTAACTGAACCAAAAAAGAGAAATTTGATTTGATTTTGATTCTTAAAATTGAAGAAAAAATTTTT